TACCATAGGCCTCCAGCAGGGGATTGGCTGCAATAATCTGATCTTCCAGTGACCCCTATAATCCAAGTTTAATAAAACTATTAGAAAAAGATTATTTTCTGTAAGTATATTTATACATTCAGAGATCTTGTCATCATAAAATACCTGAATTTTGCTTGATTCCTTCTTCTTGTCTCCCCCAACTGAGATTGTGGCAAAGTACTGGATGACACGTTTGGTGTTCACAGTCTTTCCAGCACCAGATTCTCCACTGGGTATAAACAGAGACTTATAAGAATTTGATCAAGATATTTGATTATCTTCAAAAAAGTCAATAAAAGTGAAACTTACGTGATCAAGACAGACTGGTTCTCCCTATCTGTTGAAATAAGAAAAAAATGAATTAACCATGTATGTTTGCAACAGAAACCTCATATAAAACACATTGGACATTGTTGAGAACATACCAGTAAGCATGAACTGATAAGCATTGTCAGAGACAGAGAAGATGTGGGGTGGAGCCTCCATACGCTTCTTGCCTCTATAGGCACTTACAACCTCAGCATCGTACACTGGGAGCCACTTGTAGGGGTTCACGGTGGCACAGAACAACCCAGAGTAGGTCTGAAAGTGAACATGGAGACATAATGGTTAACTCCATGTTTCCTAGAAGTATTGTCAATTTCAATATTGTCTTTGATCATCTGACAGTCTTACGTAGATCATCCATGCTGCATAACGCTCTTTGAGATTATACAGGACAGAGGCTTCATTGAGATGGGTCATCATGGCCATATCCTCAATTTTGTCGAACTTGGGAGGGTTCATTGGAGTGACGTCATCTTCTTTAACTGTCTTCTCCTGTAACAAGACATTGGTCACAATGAGAGTTGATCACATGTAGCTCGTATTTCAGTCTGATTTTATGATACAAACCTCCTGAGTGTCCAGGACTTTGACTGTGACTTTGCCACCGTCTTTCTTGAGGATTGTTGCCTTCAAGTAGAGCTCCTTGGCATCAACGACATAGCAGGCACTCTTGGCATCAAAGGGTTTGTTTTGAGCCTCGATTCTCTCCTTCTCTGGCTTACGGAGGTAAATGGAAGCTTTGCCATAAATGGCCATTTCTGCGTCCGTACTCATGGTGGCGGGTTATGTCTGTGTAGCAAGTCAAACAACAGCAATCTTAGATTGATTTTTTTTCTTCATGTGGTTGAGCAGGGGCTAAGTGTATGATATGTTACTTAACTGTTAACCTGTCCACAGCAAATAATGTCCTTACATTATTTCAGGAGGTTTTTCACAACTGTTAACACTAGCCATTATGTATGTTTTATCCAAATTGTATGCACACCTGGGCCCACTGATAAACCTAGTAAAACATTTTGGACCCCATTGTATGTTTAAAAAAGTAATCAATTGTAAAATTTGTACATACCTTACCCTTTCCCTTTGTGAAAAGAATATTATATTGCAGAATCCTGTTGAAAACATTATGCTTTAGTCAGTGCAGGAAATTACCGAATGTTAATTGTTGAAATTTATCTTAAGCTCCCACATGTTGTTTCAAAGATACAAGAAAAAGACAAATGTAATTTTGTTTTAGAGGAAAGCATAATATGCACTTAATAATAGTAATAATAATATATATACATAGTACATATTTTTACTTTTACATGACATTATATTCAAAAAATGAGGAGTACATGTAAATGATACAATGCTTAATAGTAGATGGTCTCACCACAGACTGGAGCTTCACCGGTCTTCCACCACACACTCTGAAGCTCCTTGCAGACTCCTTATATTCAGTCTGGTTTGCTTACAAAGCAAAGGGCCAAAGCAGGCTAACATGCCAAATATGGTATGACAGTGGAGCCTTGAAGCATTTGAAATATTTTGCTGGCACTAACTTTAGTAAAATCCTTTCTAATGTGACTCAAACACACAAATATATATATATATATACATATAGACAGTGGAGGGATTAATGGTTTCATATAAAATTCCACAGCTTAAGGTATAAACACCTTTAACATTAATTCCTTGAGTGTGTTATATTTCCCAATATCATCCTCTTAGTTCACTAGTGTTATTTTGAAACACTGTAGTTTCAAAACATTAAAAGTGAGAAATTCTTTGCACTGTTTGGTACTGTAATGAAACCTTGGAAAACCTTTAAAGTAGGATGTTCTTTGTTTTATGTTTTGATTTATGTTTAGAGATTTTATGTTCATGTTAGGAATGCAAACTTGTTTTAAATTTTACAGTTAGCACTTAGTAAGAACATACATGGTGGAGGTGGATGACAGTTCTTTTTTTTGCTTGCAACAAGCTGATGGCTGGGTACAGGTGATTTGTCTGTGGTTGTACTTGTTTGAATCTCTCTTGCCTCCCAGTAAACCTGCTTGGGTTGAGATCAGGAGAGTGGAGCTGATGATTTTCTTTTTAAGCAAATTAGAGGGATAGTAATGTTGGTACTTCTTTTCACATGATGCTGCACTTAATTTTTCAAGCTAAAAGCATGAGTAAACCATGCAGTCTTAGGAGTCATTTTCCACTCCATCAAAGCTCAGAACCGTTTTTTTTCTCTGTGGAAGAATCCAAACTGTTTTATATATATGTAATCCAAATTTAATTATTCTGGGGCTTTTTGCTGTGCACATTTAAATGTACCCTGATTTGACTATGCAATCTATAATTCACTAAGTAATCTAAAGTTTAACAGAATGTAATTATTCATGATTTTAATTTTTTTTTTAATTATTATACAACAACTTACTGTTCTGTTTGTAGAAAAAATGTATATGTCATTGGCATGTACATTGTCTTCTAAACTAATTTAACATGATTTCACAGGAATGTCACTGTCTCCTAGAATCTATATTCTCTGTGAGGAAATTCAGTCTACAGTATAGGTATACAGATGGTTTGATTTAGTGGTCAGAGTGAGCCAGTTGTCATCTAACTTGGGGTGCAAAGAGGAACACATGCTCTCCCCCTTTGAGCTACATTTGTTAGGGGTGCCCCTCTGTCATGTAATTTGAGAAGTGTTTAAGGCCACTGTATAGGAGTCAAAGAAGTCAGCAAATCATCAAATAGTGGGAGGGTACAAGGCTTGCCTTGGATTGGTTGACTCTATATTGATTAAGCAAAAAATCTATTTTGAGCAAAGAAGAGGACTACTTTTATCGTTAGGAGATGTAATGTGAGTGCTGACAGGAAAATATTGCCATGACACTGCATTTTACTCACTTGGATGCCTATGAAATGCCTTATTGGTGTACTGATATGTAGTTTACTGAATTGATTGAAAAGATATGTATGATGTAGATATGATGTCTATGTAGCTAATTATCCAAATACAACAATCTACTGAAGGTATGTCAGGTGAGAGAAGAACAAATAAGTCAAATAGTAAGGTCACATTTGTACCACAAGCGTGAGGTAAAAAGAATGGCTATCATTCTGACATGTTGTCCTAATCATATATGCCCACAGAACATGATGATTACTTCTGCTGAATTCAAACAAGACGTTAACTTTTAAAACCCAGTTGTCACAGAGAAAATCAATCTCATCGATTTATGAATTTAACAAATTTTCTTAGCCCCTTCCTTATGTCCTTAGCCCCAATGTCCCACAAGGATGAAAAATGCAGCGGGTGATTATTACAACAGTCTTAACTGTCAACACTCAACAGTCTGTGTGGGTTAAGTGCAAACCCATTTTAATCAGTTAATCAAAGTTCTTTCTTTACGCGATGTCTTGTAGGCTCAGCTAACATTTGGTGTGCGGCATCTATCTAATTACGCGTGTCCTATGTAATGAGATACGTGTCAGAATACTAAGAATGGAGTGGGAAGCTACGGGGTCAGAGGTCGAGCGGTGTGGTGGGGTGGGAGTTTTTTAGGCACAAGTCATTTGTTGAAGCTTTTGTAAAAAGCCAGTCAGCAGACCAGTAACCAAAGTGAAACAGCATAGTATAGACTACATACATACGTATACACTTTGACCACTTATGGTATGATCTATTTATGTCTAAAAAAAAATTAGGATAAAAGGGACTGCAGTCCACCAGGGGCAGAGGGACTGAACAGACAGACGGGGCATCTTGTTTGTTCTGTCTCTCTGAGATAACAAAATCTGCTTCAAATATTACACTTCACTTGTGGTGATACATTTTTGTTGTGAAGCAAAAGTGTTTTTCTCAGGGAACAGATCAGGGATGCTTCTAATTTAAATTCAAATATTTGATAATGACCATTCATTACAACAGGCTCTAATTCTTTTTCTGGATCATAGCAAATGATTGGATCGTAAAAATAACTGGTCATCTCCTCTTAGAATCTCAGACCACTCAAAATCAGATTATTGCCACAAGTATGTATTAACATTGGTGGATTAAGTCAAATGGCACAGCTATACACAATGTCAGCCATAGCTCAAGAGTCTCCTACACCTCCTGCAGTGGATCCTGACTGGACTGGAGCTCTTGCAGATGACAGATCACCAGTCTGAGCCTAAACTTGCTCTCTCTAAGAGATATTTATAACAAGATTTGACTTTTTGAACCAACTCTAATTAATTCATTTAATACTTATAGTTAAATTGCAATATTAAATTAAACCTTATTCGGATCCACGATGTGCCTCAGACACAGTCATTGGCTACCTGCCCCCCAACGACTGTTAAAAGGCAGCAATCACTGCCAGAGCCGGGATCTTCTGCTTTCCTGAGCTCTGGTTGTTGCTGCGAAGCAGCGTTGAGACTGTGCTTGTTTCATGTCAACACAACAGTATTGTCCTGAAAGAGCTGAGTCAGTTGTGAACAGGTCATACGAAAAGTCACTCCGACAGAATCCGTTGATTAAACATACTTTATACAGCGATGTGCTCTAATAATCGATCCAGCCTATCTGGTCAGTCCGTTAAGGACTGTCTGCCCAAACTGCACTCAAGTCAAAAACGAAACCAAAACTTCCCATCCTGCCTTTGGTTTCGTTTTAAAATAATAGAGACCCTGGCTGCAGAGAGATGCAGTCTGCGACAACAGTTGCTGGTGAGTGCTTATTATTATTTTTTAGTGTTAACTAACCTCTACACGAACCGAACCGCACCGTTTATTATAGACTAAAACGTGTCTACGTAGGGTTACACGGGGAGGACCCACCAGACTGTTCTCGTTACCTCGAATGAACTCGGCTCTGATACATTCTGGGCTGATGTGAGGAGGAGAGGCGCATTTTCTGTCCTCATTGAGTTTTCCAAAGATAAAACATTTACATTGGAGACACGCCAGGCTTACTGACCACCCTAAATAGAATAAATGAAGTATAACCAGTGCGCACTAGTTAACTATATAAAAACGCGCATTAAAACCTGCTGCTCAGACACGCGGTCATTGTCTGCTGTGAGAAATGAGCTCTGAACCATATCTGACTTAGTCTTGTTTCCTATTAATAACCCACTAAATCTTCCTAAATTAGACTTAAATGAGTAGCGTCCTTCAATAGAACCGCTGTATTTTAGTAGAACAACATATAATTCAAAAGAGAGACATACAGGAAAGATGTAGTGATACAAAGCTGATTAAATACATGGACTGAGAAAGCCAACCAGATCACCGCTATAAAAAAGGAAGAACGTCTTTAATGAAAGAATATGTGTGCATTTTCTTGTTGATAATGCATATGAAGTGAGCTGGGCTGTCCCACCACATCCGTTTTTGCAAACGGTGGCTTTTAGTGTGATGATTATGATTATTTTTGTCATAAATCTAAAGTTGATTGTGTGTGAATTTATACACAGCATGTGTGCTGGTCCTCATGTTTGCTCGTTTGTGTATCAGCTGATGGAGTCTGACCATGGATGATGAGGTTGACCCTGGCAACGAAAATGTGAACTCCGTCTTGGCTCAGGAATCCTTAGAACTGTTCCACGTCCTTAGCAGTCAGTCGCCCACTGTCATAATGCAATTGTGCCAAATGATGCCGAGTGGGGCCAGGTGCAACGTTGGCCGTCTGGGCCCCACTAGCTCTCCACCACCAGAACTCATCAGAGCCATGTTGGAGCACTTCAAGGTGGCCAGCGCTGCAGATTGCAGCAACTTCCTTCAAAGCATGTGTATCTTGTGTGAAAATATGCCCATGCGCCTGGATTCGAGGCTCATGTCAGTGGCTGGATATGCAATCAGTGAGTATGAAATGAAGCTTTAAATGTTGACAAGTGATGCTAGTCCTTGACTTCAAGGTTTATACACTACCTGCACCATTCGCTATGTGAGAGCATTGGTCAGTGGCTGACATGCAAGCTGAAACAGACAGTAAAACATAACAAGAATGGTCTTTTTAACAAGTCATTAAAGTTAGTGTTTACAGTTTCATACACATACATCATGTATATCATGCTCATATCTCAGGGTTTAGCAGAAAAAATAGCTCATTGTGTTAAAGGCAGTCTATAGAAGGAATATGAAATAAAATGTAATGTTTATGTGGGGGACAAAAAACAGAACCTGGCAGAGGGCAGAACCTGTGGCCTCACTTATCTCAATGTACTTTCTTTTTTGTTGTGATAGCTGGAAAGCACCTTCAGTTACAGCAGGCTGTGGCCAGAAGTGCAACCCCACATTAACAGTGCTGCTGCAGTTTTCTGCCCTTCTGCCAGTTCTGCAGTGACAGAACATTACAGTCTTTATTCCACAGTTAACAAAAATGTATTAATTTTGTCTTTAATTTACTTGCATGCTATACCTACTATACATCCAATGATTAAACAGGCAACATTTCTTCATTTCACTAACCGTAGGCCACTTACAGGCGGCTACTGTTCCACAACATACGTGTTGTTGACTTTGTACTGCTGTTGTGTATTTTAATATTTGGCACACCCAAAGCAGCTCTCAAAATGAAATGTGGATCACCTGGTAGGTGACACAAATTAAATATATTGTAATTAGATTTTTAGCAGTACATTTTTTTCCTCATCTTCTGCAATACTAAAATCAATTTGAAATTCTCAATCATCATTTATCAATTCTTTTCAACCAAATAAACTGGATACTGTAGCCTTACTGACAAAGTAAAGTGATAAAATGAAAATGAAAGGTAGCTGTGAGGACAAGCATCAACAATTTTCAGGATGTCATATGACTTGTTTCCATTGGTTCAATTTAGGATTTTTTTTTTCTTTTTTTGTATCTCTGTATGATTTAGAAACCAAAAGTTAAGGGCTAAGAATAGATGTTAGAAAACATCTAAAACTCTTGCAGTGCAGTTGACAGCATTAGTCTTTTCTAGTATTGCCCAGTATTTTTACACACTGTATATGTTGTGTTTGTTTTTTGCACTATAGATAGTTGTGAAAATTCAGGTCCCAGTCTAATGAATGAGGAGTTGCCTTCGCCGCCTTCAGAGCAGCAGCTCATCAAACGGCCACGGATTGGTAGAACATGCACACAACACTTCAACTTTGTTCCATTGCAGCTACATTCACATGCACAAAAAGTCCATGGATTTACATAGAGAATCAGAATGTCGCCAGTTTGTTCTAGTGGCAATTGCAAATCCTCTACAACCTAAAAGCATTTTTCTCAAAGACATGCCTATATAACTGTCCAATAAGCACAGTGAACAGAATACCAGGTAACATTTGTGAATTGATTTTGTGATTTTCTTTTAAATATTTACTAAACTTTCTTACAGCTGTGAAACGCTCAGTGTAAAGTCTATGGGATAAGGAAATGCAGACAAAGACACATAATTACATGTTTTATGAGCTGCCATCTAACCTTTTTGGTGTCTTAGTGAAATAACTCATTGAAATATGTTCAGTCTTGAAACTTTGTATCCAAAACTCATAATACATCCATGTTAAAGTGTCATTTAGGTTCATCTTTGCACTTCCACATTTCCTGACCTGTGCATAGAGCAGAGCAGAAATAGGTGATAATATTAACAGTGTTAGTAAGTGTTGCTTGCAACCAGTGTTTAAGAAATAACCATAAAATTGCAAACTGAGTTTGCGCAGATAGTACAAACCAGACGAGAAAGGTATGAGATGTTTTCATTCCACGGTAATGTGTTAACTATGACAGTTAACCAGGAATGTTTACTATGTGTCTTTTACTAGGTATTACATTACCAGGGCTAACCCACTTCTCTTAGTCCTTCTCAAGTAACCTGGCTTTGGTACACACACACTAAGAATCAACTCCATGTTCAGTTACTGTAAATTGTGTTTGTGTACTTACAAGTGTTTTGGATTTTATGAGTCATTTTATACACAGACATTTCCAAACTAAATGACACTTTTTCTTGCACTGTGACTTTTCTAAATTTTGTATCCTATATGTTGAGTGGGCCAAAGGAACTTCATGTACATCATTATACGTGAAGTAGAATTTGTCTGTTGAAACCGGAATTACATTTTTAAAAAGTCATAATTCACCCCTGTGATGCAGTTTATTCAAAAAAGGGCTTTTTTTTATTCCTTCAACTTTGCACCTCCTCAAGATGAAGGATTTTCTCCTCAAAGAAACTGCCCCCTACAAATAATGTGTTTTATAATGTACTCTTCATACAGATCACTGGGAGCACTACATTGCTGGAGTGATGAGTTTGCTGCTGAGGAGGTGGGAGCGTCTGAGTGTGGGTCTGGTGAAGGAGATCCAGCTGGAGAATGTGTGGGTCAGCCTAAGGACAGCAAACAGAGGCAGGGACAGACCTGATCAAACCCCTGGGCCATCAGACAGAGGGAGCAGAACACCAGGTCAGAATAACTTCTTCTTATTGTACCCAAACCAAGAAAAAAAGCATTTTCTGTGATGTGGCGTGGCCATGAAGACAGAACTTACCTAATCATGCATAATTAAAGTCTGTTGTGCACTAACTAAACATATTTTCTTCACCAAACTCAGATTTGGATGGGGATTTTGGGTCTTTGGAGTCTAAAGTGACTTTAGAGACCTTCCTCCAAGGATGTGCAGGAAAGGTGACAGCTGTCGCTGGTCAGGCTGGATCAGGAAAAACTCTCCTGATGTCTTTATTAGGACAGCAGTGGGCACACGGACTTGTAAGTTGACATTCTTTCTCATTAGTCAATAGTTATTTTAGGTAAATATATCTACGTAGGTGTTGATGAGTATCACTGCATATGTGAAAAAATTGTATCAAGTCTTTTGTGGCTCCAGAGCAAACTACATAAAGTTTGATAAATGTCCTCAAGTGTTGTCACATGACTCCGCGTTGGTTGAGGCAGAAGACCGCAAGTCTGAAAATGACAAAAAATCACACGCGACCATGATGACACATGCAAGTTTCCAACCAAACTGCCTGTGGTCCAGTTGTGTTTTGGGTAATGTAGGTGCCAAGTTTTGATAAGAGAGAAGACTGTGGATAAAAAAAACAGTATCTGTGGAGTCCAATGCTTAATCAGTGCAGTACTCTTTTAATGATATCCACAACACTGTAACAGTACCCAGGTGCACTGCCTCTCTAAAAAAAACTGCTGTTGTAATGTTTGTGTTTTGTTCATGTTGGGGATGAGGGCAGGCTGCCCAAATCCTGTCCAAACAGGGCTCCAGACTACGACCAAAATGGTTGAACATGTGACCATTTTTTGAGAGTGTGTGAGTTAAAATTTCACGTGGTTGCGTTTGTATCAGTGCATGATGATGATGATGATGATTAGGCTGTTTTGGGGCCTGTCTGGCATGGGTACGGCATAAGCCATTGTTGTTCAAAGTAGTACTTTTTCTTCTTCACTGGCTCAGTTGCTTTCTCCACTTTCATCATCATGAAATTTGCGAGACAATCCATTTCATTGTTGCCATGTTGCAAATATGAAGCAGTCTTATCAATTGTAAAAAAAGAAAAAAAAACAAAATGAGGAGGAAGAGACTGGTGGAAAGGAAGAGCCAACGAGAGATCCAGACTCAGACACAACGGATGATGAGAGTGCAGACTGCAGTGAGAGTGCAGGTGCAGGCAGGAAGAGACCGAGTATGCCAGTGAAGAAGAAAAACTACTACTTTCAACCACAATGCAGTAATGCAGTGCACGTGGCTGCGGTAACAGGGAAATGCTATGCTATGTGGGTTTTGTTGGCAGTAGGGCCCATCCATTGCAGTCAAGCTTGTTGGGAGAGCAACACAGCTTCAGCTTGAAACTTGAAGTTGCACAACAACAGTTAAAACACCCACCCCACCCCACCCCCAACCCCCACCCCACCCCACCCCTTTCAGTGGTTAGATGAAAATAATGGCTCAACAGAGCAGAATAAAATGGTCATGAAGTTCAATACTATTAACGCATGGAAACTAACAGTTGAAGACATTAAAGAAATGGAAAGAATTACTTATAGGTTTTCTTGTATAACTGTATAAATGTGGCAGGATGAATGAAATAAGTGATGAATTTGATAATTTGTAAAACCTGCAAAAAAGTAATTAAAAAAAAGAAGAGGAAGTTCAATTACTGCCTATAACATAGTGAAAGAGGAACTCCTGATCACAAAATTCAACAGGTTGAATGTGAATCAAACCTATACCAACAACATCGCCTGTGCCCAGTTTATAGGTGTGTTATCAGACAACCTCTAGGAAAAGACTGGTGACTAAATTGGCTCTGCCTATCCTGTATGATTGATTGTGCCACTGACGTCTCCACCAAGGAATGCAAGTTTGTTTATGACCACATCATTGATAATGGAATGGGGAAAAAAAGGGTGCAACCAAATCATGTCCAACTGATAAAGTTGGTAGTACCAGTATTACCAGTTGAAAAGTTAGTCTGGAGCCTTGTCTAAACCTAAAAGCACATTTAAGACAATACACAACTAGAGCCCCACATTAGCCCGATATTGGATTTTTGGGGCTGATAAATCGGTCCGGCTCTATACACAACACACCGCAGGAAACCATTAAAGGGAGGCTGTTACACAGTCTATATTTTCCGAGATCAGCATGCAGAATGAGAGATGCTGAATATTTGTTGTGTTGGATGAGGATCAGGTTTGTACACCCTGGTTTTTGTCTGTATATTATGTTTTTGTCTATATGTTATATTCTCTTTGCTCTCTCTTATCAACCAGGGTCCCATCCCATCATCCTTTCTGTTTGTCCTGCTGGAGTTTCGTCAGCTCAATCTACTGTCCGGCCCTCTCTCCCTGTCTGATCTGCTATTCCGACACTACTTCCCGCCAAAAGGCGGTGATGAAGAAAAGGTATATCAGGTGAAATACTAGAACAGTAATCAGGACTTCTCTGGTGTTAAATGAATTTTTTTATTTATGAATTTATTTGGCCTTTTTGCCTTTATTTGACAGACAGTGTAGAGAGACAGGAAATATGGGGAGAAACGAGGTATGGCATTCAACAAAGTTCCCCTGGCTAGGATCCAACCGCTGTTTTGTGGTATACGATGTAACCATTAGTCCACCGGGGCACCCCTGAAAATATCATTTTAAATCAGCTGATTACATTTAGCACAACACCTACAGCAATCCTGTCCTGAAATCTACGTTCAGACTGCTCTCAGGTGGATTGGCATGCCACAAGGGACCGTATTCGTAAAGCTCTGTGGTGCCAAGAGAGAAATGGTTGCAATTGCAATCCCCTTGAAATCATAATGAAATAAAACATCCCCAGAAGGAGAGAGCAACCGAGTTTCTTAAGCAGACAAAAGAAGATGTGAAAGCCGGAGATTATGAGTTAGTCAGACTAAAATACAGGAGGTACTTAATAGACTATTACAGACAAGGGCATATGTTTCAAAGGTGTGGTGGGGTGGGTGTGGTTGGTTATTATGCTGTCAATAATAGTGGGAGTCCATCATTACTATTGTCAGGTATTTGAAAAACTCCTGGAGGAGATGCAGGTATGATATTCGATGCAGTTTTTCTTGATCTCCAAAGAGCTGCATGAGCATGTGTCACTCAAGTTACTACTTGCCACAGTGCAGTTGAAACTGTTCCACAACCTTGATTGATGATTGTGTTATTATAACTAATAACTACACTGAATTGTATTTAAACAACTGTAACAACCAAGTCACAGCCACTCTACTTTTCAATTAGGTGAACTAATACGTAGCTTTTGTTGTTCTAATGATACACATATTTTATGTGTTTGAACAGAGAGCCGTTGTGGATTACCTCCTTTCCAATCCAGAGCAAAGCTGTTGGGTGCTGGATGGATATGATGAGTTTTACAGCAAAGTCACCAGACAAGATGTGCAGAGAGAACTGTTGGACCCAGAAACCCGTCTTCCCGTTGCAGACCTCATCTCAGGGTTATTAAAACGTCGGCTTCTTCCAGGATGCACTGTGCTGGTCACCTGCCGTGTGCGTGATGTCATTGATTTGGAGGGCATATCAGACAAAGTGGGGCAGCTGCTGGGATGGGACTGCCATGAGATCAAGGAGTATGTCAACAACTTCTTTGGGGTAAAAGGTAAAAACGTGGATGGTTTTATATTCATGAAGTCATATCTGCTTAATTCCTACAGAGACACATCAATGTTGGTTTAATCTGTCTCTGCAATTTCTGAATTTTTGAGTCAGTGGCTGGTTTGATATACAATGACTTAATGAAATTCACATGTTGTATAATGTTATATTGTTACTATTGAGTCAATGAGTCATGAAGCTGTTTTTTGTTATTGGGTTCACTTGGTTTGTGTTTTGGATACAATTATTTATAGTATTTCAAAGTTCCTGTTGAAAAATAGCTGTAGTAAAGGGGCATTCCAACAATTTCACACTTGGAGATCAGGTTACTCATCATAGTGAGTACCATATCGTGAGCAGTATTTAGCTTGTGAAAACAGGAGTTAAAATTAAAATCTGAGAAAATAATCTGTCTCTTGTGAGTCATCCAACTTTAATTTGCAATACTGAGTACTGGTGTACTGGTGTACTGGTATTTCTTAAACACTCTATCTCTCTCTCTCTCTTTCTCTCTCCATATATATATATATATGTTGTGTTATCCCACTTACACATACCAACAAAATGCCACATGTAATCAAATTAAAAATATAATTTGCTCCTTCACTTATGTAACTAATTTTAAAATTTTTGCTGTTTGCATTGCGAGGCAACATCTAGCTAAACAGGAGGGGGTTCACATGGCTGGGCTCTAGGTTTTACCATCCTGAGTTCCAAGTTTTGAAACTAGGTGAGAAAAACATTCTCAAATCGTGAACATACTCAGTCTACAAGACCAGAGAACAGCGCAGAATCCTGCCATACAGTATCATTTAAACTGTCTGTCCAGTGGAGATAACATTATACAGCAATCTCACACACGCAGGCAGCCTTCCTCTCCCCCACCCTCTATCGCAGACACACAGCCATAGTAACTCTGCCAGCTAATGGGCAGACAGCTTCATCACCGTCTTTCTCTCTGTCTCACTCTTACTGAAGGAAATATGTTGTTGGGTTTTCCACCCACTCGTCCCATTCTCATGATCGCGATATCTGAGGAAAACCTAGAGGAAATTACTTCAAATTTGGTACAAACATTCACTTAGACTCAAGGATGAACTGATTTGAATTTGGCAGTCAAAGGTTAAAGGTCAAGGTCACTGTGACCTCACAAAATATGTTTTTGGCCATATCTCAAGAATTATGCTAATTATGACAAACTTTCACACAAATGTGTAATAGGATAAAACAATGAAGTGATAACATTTTATATCCAAAAGGTCAAAGGTCAACTTCACTGTGACATCGTAATGTTCTGCCAATACACTTAGTACCTTGGTGGCAGCATAACAACATGAGGGGCTAAATCTAGTTTTCTGTTGAGTTCTGTTCACACCTGTGTGATTCCACCTTGAGTTTCTCTGGGCCTAAACTAATTTATGTCTCATCCCAAAAGGTGACTCAGCAAGCAGAGCTCTCGGGGCGCAGGCAGTGGATCTCCTTCTTTCTAGTCGACACCTCCTAGCTATGTCATGCCTCCCTGCCCTCTGCAACATCTGCTGCATCTGTCTGAAGCATCTACTGCTAGAAAATAAAGAGGAAGGGGCAAAAGTACAATCTGGAGACGAAGACAGAGGAAGTGAGACAGGAAGAAGAGGAGAGAGTGAAGATCTAACAATGGATGTAACGAATGGCAGAGCCCAGCTACCTCCCACACTAGCCCAGATACCCTCCACTCTTACCCAGGTCTACCTCACTGTTGTCACTGCATTTCTGAGCCGTGAGCCTGATAAAGGAGGAAAATCCGACATGGCAACGACCACAAGACCTCCACAAAGGTATAAAACAAGTAGAGCAATAAATGTGTTAATAATGTTTCACACCACGTCAACACGTAACAACATTCAATAAATCTTAAATGGAAGAGGGGTAGAAAGGCGGTGCACCTTGCTGTAATACAAACATGGTAGTAAAGACAGAACAGTAAGTAGTAGTAAAGAAGTATAACAAACTTTTAATGTAATACTTATTTACTTACTTTTCAGTTTAAATTCAGTTTTCACTTTCATATGATCTTTTCTAATTTAATGTACCAATGCACGAATAGTTGGTTAAATTATGATTAATGCAAATTAATTTGTTTTCTGTCTCTTTGTGCAGCACTGTCTGTAGGCTGAGTCAGTATCCCTCTGAGTTGTGTGAGCTAAGTCAGCTGGCTTGGAGAGGTTTAGAGGAAGGCAAGATCGTCTTCTTGAAAGAAGATATTCCTCAGGAAGTTCTGGAGTTTTCACTCAGGACAGGGCTCTTCTCACAGGTCAGGCATGGTTGTGAATGTTTTCTTCATTTCTTCATCTTCAGTGTGCAGGGTTTCCTCTAAAATTACAGGCAGGTTTGGCTATGGCATACTTTCTTTGAATCATGACCAGGTTTACTCAGTGTGAAAACTAGGAATTTAGAATACTTTGTTTGCTCAGCAATTAAAATTGAATGACTAAACCTAGTCAAGAGCATTAGGAATCCATTTGTATTGTGATAAAAATAGTGTAGTAAAATTGCAACAATCCTCTTCTGCTAAATATTTCCGTAAACAGAATATCTGCACTATGCTGTAGCATGAACAACCATAATCAAAGTCTGTAGACACATATTGTAACATCTTCATACTCAAAACGTCTGTGTGTAACCAAAGGCCTTTACTTTGGCCCAGCTCAGACATGTGGGTGTTTGTGTGTGTGTGTGTGTGTGTGTGTGTGTGTGTGTGTGTGTGTGTGTGTGTGTGTGTGTGTGTGTGTGTGTGTGTGTGTGTGTGTGTGTGTGTGAGTGTGTGGTGTGCGTGCGTGCGTGCGTGCGTGCGTGCGTGCGTGCGTGCGTGCGTGCGTGCGTGCGTGCGTGCGTGCGTGCGTGCGTGCGTGCGTGCGTGTGTGTGAGTGTGTGTGAGAGAGAGAGAAACAAAATTGAGCTTGAGCGAACCAATGCCCGGAATACATCTCAAATGTGTCTTGGGTACGTTCACATCTGTACTTAGAGCTGTACACTTGAGCGGATCACCCGAGATGGGTTTTTATGCCATGTCTGAACAGGGCCTTTGACATCACCATTGAGGCAGTTCTACATTTACTTCACCATGGCTGCTAATGATCCAAAACAAACATTAGACCTCAACTTTTACCTATTCTTTACGGTGAGCATTACAGCTTTTCTGAGCACGTGATAATCAATAATACCTTTGTCCCTGTCTTCTTGGAAGGTGGAGCTCAGACGTGAGGATGGGATGCTTGTCAAGGCCTACAGTTTCATTCATCTGACAATACAGGAATTTTTGGCTGCACTCAGAATCATGACCAGTAATGATGTTAGTGACATGCAGCTCAAGAAGAGGTAAGGAAATGAAGTTCAGGAAGCTGGAAAGGAACATTGTTATATTTTATTTTAGACCACGGGACTCTTCCTCTATGGAGCTGTCAGGTAGTTTCTGGAGGTGAAGATTTGGGATCTGTTTTACTGTACTGAGCGTTGTGTTGTGTGTTTAGTCAGTAACAATTAATTAGAATTGATTACATGTGTTAATTTATATGATAAAACATTATCATATGATTGCTGTGCATTTCAAGTATTTAGCTTGTGTTTTTTAAACAGAATCACTGAATTTTCAGCTGTGTGACGTACTGGGAGCGGACACGGTTCTCATACACAATATTTACAGTGTAGTGTGTACGACTCAGTTTTCTAAACACTAAACTGCTGCCTCACTTAAATGAGATCTGTTTATACTTGCCTCCCACCTTTGCACTGTGCAGTCTATGCTAGACATAAAATACCAAATGGACAGGCAAAGCAAATTTCAGTTCAGGCAAACACTAGTCCGACTCACCGGATGTAGACAGTGCTCACTTCCTGACGGGCAAATGTTCCCCTCTGACTATGCAAATTTAGATAAACACCAACCTGTTGTTGTGCTGCTTGCACCTGTCTTTGCACTGCCACCAAAATAGATCCTTGTAACTTAAGCCTGAAAAACGATCTGATAAATAACAAATAATAATCATAATTCTATTCAATGAGGAACCGTGCTCGCAGCTTATATCTAAACTAACTAACTATTGCAAAATCACACCTAAATCATTAGTGTGCAGAGGTATTTTTGGAATCTCTGGTTATTGACACAAGCAGAGGAGTGCTACAGCATTTGACCATAAGAAGTCAGACTGTATACCAGGAATAACTTAGCCATGGAAGCAAGATGAGCTGTGTAAGTTGAGTACACTGGGAGACATGTCTGTCCCTCCTCCCTAAAAGGAGGTCAGAAATAGGCAGGCACTGAGCAGATGGTCCAATCACAGCAGTGAAGGCGCAGGGGGTCAGCAGAGGTGGGGGGCACTGAAAGTGAGATGTGGCTGTGACGCAGTACAAGGTGTACACTGTCACTCAAGAAAAGCCTTCGTGTGTATGGCAGCGTTGTAAATGATGTTACCGGTCTTCCTTTTTCTCAACGTCTAATATTGTTTTGACAGAGTGCGCTGTTGCTACCTCACCTGTCATCTAGATGCTTGAATTACAGACAAGTCAGCAATGTACTTTTTCCAGTTCACACTTTTCAGCTCAGGGCCTTAGTCGAAGACCGTTGAAATGGTGTTGCCCTGTGAATATACGTGTTAAATTAATTAAGTTTTGACTCTGGATGTCTGGTAGTTGAAACTCATGACATAGAAAACGTCTCTGGCTCGATTGTACTTGTCCAGGAAGGTAGCTACTAGACTTTGTGATAAGGTCGCTGAATGTTATACAGAAAATAACACACAAAATCTCAACAGCAGACCAACATAGAATCCTTTTACAATATCCAAACAAACACCAAAACCCCCCTGAACTGTCTTTTACACAGCAATTTAATGTAGGTGCGTAACTGAGTCTACTTCAAACATTGACTATGCTCTTATCTTCTTCTTCTTCTGCTCCCAGATTCAGTCTGAAAACTCGTTGGACGACCAAGTCGGACCAGAGGACAGTCTTCACTGACTCTCTGTACCTATATGTATGTGGTCTTGCTTCCCAACACTGCACTTCAGCCTTAGTTCAATTAGCTACAGCTTCTGGTGGTACGGGAGTCCAAAGTTGGGTCCAAAAGCGACAAGCCCTTATTCTGAACCTGCTAAGCAACCTGTGCCACAGCAACACCCTGACTGGACCCAAGGTAGAATGAAGAGAAGTAAAACTTGATAAACTGTTATAATTTTTCTGGCAATTTTTCAGGCTGCCCTTTCTTTTCTCTCTCTCATTCCTTCCTTCTTACATCTTCCCAGATACTAGAGCTTTGCCACTGTGTCCAGGAGAGCCAGGACCACCAGCTGGCTAAGAAAGTTGTGGATACGAGACCTACCCTGGAGCTGCGCAACATCTGGCTATTGCCTAATGACATTGAGGCTCTGGCTTTTGTAGTTAACTCAGTAGGTAATAATGGCATCGGCTTGGACTTTGGAGCATGTTCAATGGAACTGGAGTGTTTAGATGTCCTGCCCAGGTGTCAGTACATTCACTACCTCAGGTACGCAGGCACAAACACTCACACAAGCAAAATGATACATAGCATCAATACTAATGCACGCATATGCTCACACACTTTCAGAAACAAAATCAAATAGCATTTAGCAGTGCTAAAAAAAAATGCAAAAATGTTGAGTGCACAGGGAAGGTGAGGCTAAGAACTATTTTTATGACCAGAGGTGCAGTGCACTAAAGGGGCAGTTGAATACTGCAGTCGTAACACTTGGGAATGGTGAAGGTGACGGTGTTGAGCGTGAAGAATCTGAAAACCTGCGTTTAGCTTTGGGGTGTTAAAGGGAACAGTTGCACAGAGGCTCCGGAAAAATCTGCTGCTTTGCCTTTGATGTTTTGCAGCTGACTAACCACCAGCCCCGCATGCTGTGAAACTGCCTGGAGCTCTTGATTTCCTGCGTGTGAAGTGATGTGTGAAGTGATCACAACAGTTTTATTCCCTGGGGGCTGGCACACATTCCAGGGGCAGTACCCATCTTCTTCATTTGAAAAGCGTCTTTCTCCAGGACTCAGACTAAGCTGCTGAAATAACAAACAGATTCCATTTGTAAAACACACTGAAGCTCTTGCACATGTGCTTGACAGACAGTGGTGAAAGCTTGGAGTTTTGCTAAATATGAAGGCAGTCATCAAACAAGACAGCTGGTGCCAGCAGCAAGTCTTGCCCACAGCTCTCAAGGTCTTTGGGCCATTGTTCCAAATGTCAGTATCACAGAGCTCCCATGCACATATACCATACTTATTGCATACTGTATGCATACATTATGTCACCCGGGGGGGAGACAAGTGTACTGTCAAACTGGCAAGGGGTGTAGCTTTCTTTAGGGGCCCCTCTTAACCAATAACTATATAATAAATTAAATATTAATAATGAGCTATGCAGAAGGTAATCTTAATCTTCTTAATTTTCAGTGACATTTAAATTTACATGCCTGGACATTATGGCTGGTGTCATTGTGAATGATGCATGTTCTTTTTCAATATTTGTGTGCCTTCAGTTTTCGCAGCCGCAAGTATGGTGACAAGTTTGCTGAGAAGCTGTCCTCCATTTTGCCTGAATTCACAACCCTGAGGAAACTCGAGTAAGATTTAAATTCATTTCAAACCAAATATAATATTTAATTTATAGTGAGATTATTTATTTCATTTCCAGATTCTCAGTTTGCTTTTTGAGTCTCTTGAATCCATTCAGACTGACATTTGTTCAGAGTAAGTGATGTTCTTCCATCCATAATGGAGAAGACGCACTTGAAGTGAACAAATCGCACAGCAGTCATTCACTTGTCCTTCCCTTTTTTCGCGCTGGTCAGTCCTGCGTTCTCTGGAACCCCACAATGCCTTTTGAAGCGATTTGCTCGTGTCCCCTAGAAAATGAAATACAACCAGTCAGTCCTCCTTCAACGTCCCTAAACACATTCCCTTAGCATACTGTTTTATTGCAAACTTTTCTGTATTATTATTGTTTTTTATCTTATATTATTGTTTGGCATTTTATTTAATTTCCCTTTTGTGATTTATTGCAGGCCTGAAATGTTTTTATCCTGGTTATTGTTAGTGTGATCGGCTGATTGTCTTTATCCTTTCAAGGTTTTGTGGTGCCAGTCTGACTGCCACAGGAGCAGCTAGTTTGGCTTCTGCTCTAGAGAAGTGTCCAGACATCACTGAAATCAAGTATATTTTCTGTCTTTCATGTGCAACATTAATTTCACTGCTAAAGTAAATGATGTAAATGATGCAATTTGACACCAAGCTTTTGTTTTTGTGTTTTTGTGTTGCAGTCTAAGTGACAACAGTCTGAAAGATGAAGGGATCAAACACATAGCTGATATCTTTGCCAAACTACCAAAACTGGTCTCTGTAATGTAAGTTGAGACTGCTATTTTTTAATTACTTTAACACAATGTCTCAAGATTGAGAGGAAGGTTAATGTGTGTGTCTGTGCAACTTTCAGGCTGAGTCGAAACAACAGCTCTCTGAAAGCAGTGGACTACCTCATTGGGAAAATGTCTTCGTGTTTGAACATCCAGCATGTTCATGCAGAGTATGATTACACACACATTCACACACGCACAGCTACACAGGTGTCATTATTTTTGCATGATGCATCACAGAGGCCATACACTACATCCACACAGGCTCAACACTTCAACACACTGTCACATTTGACTGCAGTTTATTGACTGTATATTGTACACCTCATCCTGTCGGCTTGGTATTGTCACCATTTTTGCAGCCAAACTATGTTCTCCTTCACTTTGAGTCTGGCAACCTAGTTTCAGAGACCTTAAAGCAATTGAATATCGTTTTACACCTGTTATACAATAAAGATTTTTTTGTCCTTCTGCAGTGCAATGAAAGAAGTGAGAATTACTTTCTATCAAAACTCAGATATGAACAGGTGGGTTTTATGATTACATAAAACTAATAAAACCATAAAGCAAATACTGACCATACTGAAATCTTATGTATTCCCTTTTTTTATGTAATTGCCTTTGCAGCAATAAAACTAAGTCTGAACCAACAATCAGGTAAGACATAAAACATTAACTATCACATGTTAACTATTTGCCAAAACTTAGGTGCATAGTCAGTTTCCTTGGAGAACTTTGCTCACTTGTTAGATTGTGGTTGTGAGCAAAGTGCATGTACCTTAACTTTTTTTGGGACACAATTCATCTTGACCAGCAATGGCCCCTAAAACTGTGACCTCCGTATTACTGTTGTATTATTACTATGAGATCTGCACGTCATCTAATTAACTCAGTTTAGTTTCTGTGCAGATTGATTCAAATTACAGTTTTCAACGTCGATATTTGTCCCTCCTTCATTGCTGATGTTTCTGTTGTTGTTTTAAGTCTTTACCTTTTGGTGCCATTTTTCTCCAGCCTGTTGAACCAGAAATGGAACAAGCCTGAGATGCAGAAAGTTGCAAACTCATTAGCGTGTTGCCCTGCCATATCCGTCCTGGAGTAAGTAACTCTAAAAACGCCTCTTCAAATTTAGAAAACCTCCTACCCATGTTGCAACATACAGAATAGACTGAATAATACATAACTTGCATAACTCACTAAATACAATAAAAACAGCCAGTTAGTGACTTACTGTGTGTGTGTGTGTGTGTGTGTGTGTGTGTGTGTGTGTGTGTGTGTGTGTGTGTGTGCGCGCCTGCATCCTAGTTTGTCCGGAGGCCAGTGGGATGTGGAAATTCTGAAGACACTGACTGAGTTTTTGCTGAAGTTCAATGTCACCAACAAGATCATGTGAGACTGAATTTGTTATCCATCACAAAGCACATGATGTAATGCTGACATAAAGCTACATGTATTCTGCATATAGTTTTTGTTATAGTGTTTATACCAAAAATATCACAAATACATTTATTCGCTATAAATGTTTTATTGGTTAAAGATAGGCAAGTACACAAAAAATGTGTTCCACATCCGTAAATAAATGAACAGCAGCAGTTTGTTAATGTTCCCATTTTCTCTCAGTCTCAATGACAGCTGCTCTTCGGTGGAGGGCTTGGTTGTTCTGACTGCTCTGCTCTCGAAGTGTCCTGCTGTGGTGGATCTTCATATCAGGTACAAACACATTCCTAATGTGCATTGCATGCTATAGCTGCACACATGCAAAGTTTACGCATGCAACATAAACAGATACAGAACGACTCATATCAGGCATGATGCTGTTCTTTTGCAACAACTCCTGGCTGGTGTGAAATAACATTTTTCAGTGTTTTACAGCATTCTTCTTTGTTGCAAAGCACTGGAAACAATAGAATCTTAAACCACTGATTAGTTCATTCAGGTCTGAATAGTGGGTTTGTCACTGCTATGTAACTGCATGTTTCTTTATGTTTTAGACTACAGTCTAGTCCAGATCCTGTTCAGGTGTCTATTGTGTTCTCTGGAGGGAGAGAAAATCCTGCAGATGAAATCTCTAAAACACTCTGGTATGTATAAAGTTATTAAACTTTAAAATCTATTTTGATCTATTTTATTGGTTTTATTTTTTCATCAGTGCATTCGTCTCAATTTTTTTTACGCCAGCTTCTTTAGTCACTTATAAAGCTTTTGAGTTGTGAACTGTGCGACAGGTGTCGTACAAATGTAATTTGATAATGATAATGATGAATCATTGCCACAGTGTCTCTGTCATAGCAGTAATTTCGAGAGCATCATGTGGCAACAGGATGTTGGGGTTGGGTGTGATGCTGAAAGAGATCAATGTAACGGTAAAATAAAAAATATATGAATCAGGGAGAGATGATTCATAGGAGCAGGACTGTTCCAGACATCTAAAGCAGTGTGCAGATGCAGACGGTGATGATATGACTCATTATTGATATTACTAATGATGATTATGATCGTAATGATGAAGCTGTTGCCTCTGTCAGTCTCAGTTGCTGTGGTCTGCTGCATGCTGATCTAGAGGGAGTGTGGAGCAGTTTGGGGACGTCCTGTGATCTCACTGTGCTGGAGTAAGACACAAACCACATACACACTGCAACACTAACACTTGTGTCTCCGACTCCTCAACCTTCTACACTGGCTACCTTGTGTGGCGATCTGATGGCTGGGATCTGACTATCAGCTTACCTCTCATGTTACGTGCTGATCAGCAGTAGCTTCCTAAAACTTTCCGCCATCAGCAGTGAAACTCCATCACTGCCTTTAAGCATTCACACCTCACACAGAGGCTTCATGTGTATTTACCATGTGTGTCTGAAACATGACAGGAACAGATCCAGTAGACGCGGCACTGGTAGTTAGTGTGCCTCACAGATGCAGTTGTTGCTCATGCAGCGACTTGTGACTATGTGCCTTTCATCAACCTCTTAGTAGACAACTGATTATGTTGTTTATACCTCGTCTATTTGCCTCATTATGTCTCAAAGAGTAAGAAGGTCCTTCTTGAGCTGTACAGTGTTGCTTTCATCTAAATTTGTAATGACAGCTTGTCCTGGATAAATCCACCCTCCACACACCTTCATATTCTAACATTTGCAGGGAGCTTGCTTGTAATTTTCCCCTGCATACTAAACCAGTATCACTGTTGACATTCATTTCATCAGTCCACTAAAGTGATCATGTCCAGACACCCTATGTTGAAATCAGCTTAGATTAGCATGTCATCATGTGTCTCAATGGTCAATTCAGACATGACAAGTTATAATTTGTGTTATTTATAAGGTTTTTTTATACTGTGTTTGTATTTTCTGCATCACCAGGTAACTTAACTGTTTCCTTTGTTTTGGCAGCTCTCCAAAGTTTTATTGTTTATTTCACCATGTTCTTTATTTTCAGTTTGTCCAGTAACTGTTTAGGCAACAAAGGTCTGAGGAAACTACTGGATTTCCTGCCTCATCTTAGCCACATCCAAGAAATCAAGTAAGGCTCACACATAATTTGAGGTTTCAAATAGAAAGTGAGAGAAATGTTCCAAACAATTACAAAAAAAAAGAGAACGAAAGAAAAGTTGGGGGGTGTAGTTAATTTAAATGAGGGACCTTGGCAGCATCATGTGTACTATGGCTGCTTTGTCGAGATAGAAAGACATATTTTAAAGGAAAGAGGGAAAGCTGATCTAATCTTGGTAAGTTGGCAGAGGCAGGACAATAATTTTATCTCCAAACATCCCTAAGAAAATGTGCCAATGCTAATCTACTATGTTTACCCCTGGGGCCATTTTCAGTCCAAATACAGTAGCTCATATAGAAGTAAATTATGTCCTTCCTCCTGGCTCATTGTGTTTGTGTGTGTTTTTCAGTGCCACGAACAATGACATCGACATGGAGGGAGTGGTGATGTTGGCTGGTGCTTTGTGCTCCTGTCAGGACTTAACAGAAATTCACATCAGGTATTTTCTGTTTTACATTTTAGGCTTAATGATTCTATTAGAGAAGCAGCAGAGTGAGCACCTGTTTCAACAACATGGCAAGCTGCCAGGTAGAACTGCAACAACAGACAAATGCTGTTAAACAGCTCGCTTAAGTCTGTTTATAAAAAAAATAAAAAGTACGTACATGTATGTAAATTTGCATAGAGATGAATTAATTATGGAGACAATGTTCTTGTTAACAATAAACTGGCTTGACGTGCAGATTGTGTATTGTTGATATTACAGTGATGGGGGGAGACAGCAGGTGATCCTGAAGTTCTGCTCTGACAAAAGGTAGAAAAAGCTGCATTTATGGAAACCTCCAGACATCACGAACACCACTGTCTACAGTTTTATTAGTCCATTAATGAGCAAATTCTGTGCTTGTCTTATTTTTCAGAGACGACCAACAGCAGCTCAAGATGTTCAGGTACAGTAAGATGATAAAGAGTTGGGGGGGGGGAAACACACATTTGACATTCTTCTGAGTTCAGTATTCTTCAAAACACTTTACTAGAGCTGCAAGGATCAGTTCACTCATCAATTAGTCAATCAACAGAAAATCAGCAACTATTTTGATAATCGATTAATTGAATTAGTAATTTTTCCAAGAAGAAAATCTACAACTTTATGGTAACGCAAGTCATTAGCAAAGTTCACACATCATTCATTTTATTTTGTAGGGTAAACAAGAGCAGCATCCTGCCATCTGATATAACCTCGCTGTGTAGGAGATTGGTCCAGTGTCGCTCCCATTTGGAGTTAGAGTAAGTTTAATAATTGTTTATACACAAGTTATTATTTCATGGTATTACTAAACATTAATATCTTTGTATGTTGTGTCAGTTTGTCTGACAGCTCATTGAAAGACGAGGTTGTCAATAATTTGGTCAAAGTCCTGCCAAAGATGGCGTCACTGCAGAGGCTCAAGTAAGACATACACACATGATGTTGTGGTTGGATGGTTTTGTGTGTGAGAGGGAGTAAACTTTTCTGTAGCTGCATCCAGTTTATTTTGTGTTGTCATCTTAAACTTAAATGATCCATGTGGGGAATGTCAATACTAGTGTTTTCTGTATGTCTATTTAAAATTGTAGTGACATGTACTGTCAGTCATGTCATGTTATAGATACAGACATACAGAGATGTGTCCAGGAATAAGAAGGATTTATATAAGTATTGTGTACAAGGTATTAATTATGTATGGACACAGTTTAATTGTGTCAGGATCTGATGTACAGTACTGTGCACCTCATGATATATAATATTATATAATACTGGTTGTTTTTAAGTTAGATAGCTCTAGTCTGATTGGTAATTCATACTTTAGTAAACCAGTAGTGCCAGCATGAAAATGACAAGCATAATGTGGTATCGTAACAGAACATGAAGCTTTAATGGTTAACGAATCAAGTTAACCAACACCTAAAGATGGTCTAGTTTGAGCTCATCCACCACTCTCCTATTCTCCTTGTGTCAGTGTTCAGCCTTTTGATGAGATGAGTGTTTTTTCTCTCCTGGCAAATTCACCATAAGAGAAATTTCACAAAAAGTGACAATAGTTAATAAACAACCACACTGACACACAAATGTATTAAATCTAACATTTGTTAGTTATTTGATTACTTTCTCATTTAACTTTAATAAACCCTTTCCTTTCTTCCTCCAGTGTCAGCAACAGCATCTTTTCCACAACTGGGGCAGTGAGTTTGGTCAGTTGTTTGACTGTCAGTCAGCGAGTCTCATCTTTGGAGCTCAGGTACGATATTAATCTGTGTTACAGCTGTCAAGGAAAAAACAATCCCACATTTAAAAATCAAAGGTTTCAGCTCTCTGCAGTTGTGGGTAAAATTATATGGAGAAATTACAATAAATAGGTTCCTGCAATGATAGGTATCTGGCATGGATTATGTTTTTAATTGGTGCTTTGACCTCTTTCTCAGGCCTCAGAGTGAATGCTTCATCCATTTTGACAGAGTGGAAGCCAAACAACCCACCTGCAGGTCTGTGATCAAGTTTTAACGTTGTTTGTTTAATTGTTTTGTTCGCTGTCTACTGATATAACTCAAAGACTTAGTGGACGTTTGTTTTTCAGACCTTCTAAGTTTGTCACTGTTCCAATAATCTATTGTACATACAGTTCAGATCAGATCAGTTTTAGCGTCTTCTAGTTTCTCTTTCAGTCAGACGGCCGGTGTGGTTCAGTATGACATTGTTCATGATCTTGGCCGGCGGTGGCGGAACTTGGCAGCAAATTTATAATTCCTCACGAAAAAGGCAGGAACATCCTTAAATTACATCCTGCCAACTGTTTTGCTTTTTTTTTTTTTTTGCTTTCTAAGCTAAAGTGAAAGAATATACATCATTTTAGAGCAGCCCACATAATGTTAACAAGTGAGTCACAAACAAAATTTAGATTTCATGACACATAAATAGCAGTTTATGGTTGCTCAAAGAAGAGAGAGAAATTGGCAGAAGAAAAACCGGAGGTAATTGATAATCCGATTATGGAGTATCAGTTTGAAGTACGTTGGGTTTCCTAATAGTTGTTTACTGTGTGTGCTGTGTGACAACAAGGAGCACTTTTTCAGCAAAAAAAAAAAAAAAAGAAGAATGTTATAAATACTCCACAACTGGCTCTGACTTTAATGCACTGTTGTATTTTCTGTCTGTCTTCCAGCTTAACTCATTTTAGCCTGAACAGTGACAGCTTGGAGAGGTTGATTGAAGTCCTACAGCGGGTTCCTCAGCTGTCTGACCTGGAGTATGTGCCACAAACATATACCCACGTACCCACATACAAACCAGTGCTTTCTTACTGAACCGTTGGTCTGGATGATAAGTAACTCTTTCTTCCGACTGCAGTTTGTCAAGTAACCAACTGGAAGATGAAGGAATGAAGCGTCTGATGGATTCTCTACCAAGGCTTAAAATCACCAGCTTTGTCAAGTGAGATACGAAATATTCTTCTTTTTTTTAGATTAAATATTAAATGTTTGTCTTTTACTCTCAAATATCAATATCAGAATCAACAACAAACATTTCTTGTTGGCGAAAGGTTGTCAGTAATATAACAACATTTCTTCATCCGCAGCCTGAGCAACAACAGCCTGACCCAGCAGGGGCTGTTGGATGTGGCCAGCACACTGTGTACCTGTGATAACGTCTCAGGTGTAGAAGTCAGGTGAGTCTGTGCACCGTAGAAATGAGTGAACAGAGGAGCAAGGAAGAAAGCATTTAAATGAATTGTAATTGATCCCTGTCTGTCTCTTCTCCGCGTTCTGATGTCTGCTGGTAGCCTGGGAGCAGAGCAGAAGTGTCTTGTCTGGTTCAGACAGTACGGAGGTGGTGAAAAAACTCTGAGGTAATACCCGAATATAAATTAAATTTGATAATTATCACATTACCACCATGCTGCTTTGATGTGTGAACCACAGTACGTGATGTGTTCCTAATCTTGTGCCACAGAATTAAACCACTATGGGCTCTATTTTTGTAAACCCAGTAGTGCGAGGCAAGGTTGTTTAAAGCTCTCAGTGCACATTGCGTTTATTCCATTCATTAGACAGGATATACCTTTGATAAATCGCCATGTGTTTAGTTATTCTTTGTTTGTTCTCTCTCTTTTCTGCCTCTCCACCAGTGTCAGCGAGAGCAGTTTGGAACGTGAACATCTGGTCAGATTAGCAGAGATCGTGTCTGACTGTTCCAGTCTGACCAAACTGGAGTGAGTACATCTCAGTGTTTAGACCATTTTATAGCTCTCTCATATGATTCGAAGTGTCTCAGGTTGTCTTCTGTTTATTTTATTTTCCCTGTGAGTAATGTTTGCTCTGTGCTTGTTCCACAGGTTAAAGAACAACTCCCTGCAGTCAGAGTGGATTGAAGACTTTGTAAAGGTGTTGAACATCGGTCAGAGAGGATGCAGCGTCAGGTGAGAAGAAGTACAGTAGCTGTTGCCTGTGCTGTTTGCTCCTGAACTGAAATGTCAAACCAGTTTCTATCATAACATACTTGGAAATGTGTCCATTCTGCTGTAGCTTGTTATTCTGTAACATTTGAAGCCGAGAGTCTCAGTAGAAACACTGACCAAACACTAAACAGGCTAAGTTGAGGTTAAGTTGTGTCAGTATGGCCTGTTTTTTAGCAGTGAAAGCTGAAGAATTTTTAACTGTGTCACACTCTGTCTTCTTGTCAGTATTGAAGAGAGTTGGATCAGAGCAGAGAAAGCTACTGGTTTAGTGTGTCGCTGTCTCGAGCTCAGCAGGAATATTCAAACTATCGGGTAAGATATGCAAATACAGACACACGCACACACACACACATCTACAGACTATACACTCTTGACAAGTATTATATAAGTCACTGTAGAATTTCCCTAATCAAGGTATACAGAGCGTGTGTTGTCGTCAATAACACTTTCAAACACATATATTTTGCAGGGTGCACCACACCACACTACACCTGTTTCTGATGACATCCTCTGGACTGACCTCAGTCAGGTAATAAATGAATAATTATTAAATGTATAAAACATGTAAAATGAAGTGTAAAATATGAAACCAACATCTGTAGTCCCTTGTTGTTTTGTCTTGTCCTGTAACTTTGCTGATCCAGTTCCATCAATGACTGCAGAGAAAATATGACACTTTTTCCTTTAAATGCCTAAAGCCTTGAAAATTAAAATCTTACAATGATGAATGATTTTATTACAGTCCCTCTGTTCTATGTCATGTTAACTTGCCATGTTGAAATATACTGAACATTAAATTGGCCATTCTCAAGGCAGTGTTCTGCTGAAATCCTTCTTACGCTGTAAAACAAATTAAGCAATGCAAAGGAAAGACAGAAGAAAAACTAGGCAAAAATACAGGTGGTACATGTCGGCTCATGTATTCACTTTAAAACCCTGGAAAATGTTTTCAGGAAGATAGAAGAGCCAGATATTATTTGTCTTCGTAGCTGCTAACAGCAGGAAAAAGACAAAAGCACATATTTCATTTGCAGTTGTCATAATCTCTCCTCTCCTCTTCAGCCTTGTGGACTGTGCACTAGATGGGTGCCAGCTTGCATCTATGAGGAGCGTCTTCCAGAGGTGTCCTTCACTGACAGAGCTGGAGTAAGTTCTCTCTATTTTCTGTTGGAATGTAATACGCACACAGCCATAAACAAAGGAGGTGTATTTGTAAAATCATGGAAGAAACTAAATGAAAACACAAAAAAAACATGTTTGTTCTCATTATTCACAGTTTTTCCCACAACAGTCTGGGGATAGAGGGAGCTGAGTCGCTCTGCACTGTTCTGCCCTTGCTGCCAAAACTCACTTCTCTCAGGTGAGAGCTTTTTGTGACAGTTTTACTAATGCCTCTCTTAAAGTTCTAGCGTGACAAGTGTCTGCTCTCGTCTTTTTCAGTATTGTCTCCAAAGAGCCGTGTACGACTGTGGTTGAGAAGCTCTCAGAGGCTTTGCTACAGTCTACAACTGTTCAGTGCCTCAAGTGAGCAACACATACACAAACACATCTTATTGCTAGTCCTAATCTCACTGCCTTTATGCAGAGTCTTATTGAGTGAACCATGGGTAGCAGAGAGGACCACACAACTCGCCATGTCACAGAAGTTAAATATTTTTCTATTATATTCCAGTGCAACATAATCATTGTCCTCCTCTCTCTTTCTCCCAGTCTGTCCGGTCACGTGATTAGCGACACAGCAGCACAGACTATGACCAGAATATTTCCTCGTTTACGATCACTCAAGTAAGCATTTAACATTCAGTGCAGATGTTGTAACAGTATTGTAAAATTCCCTTGTAGTAACTGTAGTAGTAGTCGTACATTTGACTTGTCTCTAGTCTGTCTCAGTGTGTATGGTCAGCGGCTGGAGGGCTGCAGCTCGTCGAAGCACTGGGACAGTGTGTTTGTCTGGAAGGCCTTTGGTAAGACACACGCACACACATGTGCATATGAATGATCCTGTACAAAAACAAGTACAGAAAGAGTGGCTTCTATAATGTCATGAAGTATGTGTTTGTCTCTCTGCGCTTCTGTGTTGTGTGTATTTGTGTGTGCACCCCAAGTCTGGACTCTGTGTACCTGGATGAAAACAGCATGGTGCGTCTGCCACAAGCACTGAGGAGCATCTACTCCATACGCAGTCTCAAGTAAGAAACACAGTCTCATAAGATGAACTGATTAGATTTTGGTGGTCAAAGGTCAAGGTCACTGTGACCTCACAAAACACATTTTTGGCCATAACTCACAAATGCTTACTTTAATTATGACATAATTTAACACAAATGTCTAATAGGATAAAATTATGAATTGATGACATTTTATATCCAAACCGTCAAAGGTCAACTTCACTCTGACATCATAATGTTCTGCAAAAACATTTCTACATTGCTGTAACTCAGGAAGGGGAGATTATGACCATATTTCATGCAACTTGACTGGTTGGCAGAAGCACACAACCAGGAGCTGTTAATTATAGTTATAAAAATGTATTCATAATACCAAAGCTGACCTTTCAAAGCTGATTTTGAAGGCTAACCAAGTAAAATACGACCTCCTGTAACCATGCAACACGCATTTATAAGTATTTATTTAATATAGTAACTTAAGCCAGCAGAACTATTTCAGGCATATGTCTTTAATGTTAATATTGCAGTCACACTGACACATTTTACTCGGACATATCTAACACTACTCTAAAAATCTGGTCTATTTAAGATGTCATGCAGTAGCTCAGAGTGTCCCTGCCAAAGCCGCAGTTTCACTGCTCGTATTTCAGCCACTGTTGCTGCAGCTCATCATTCCAACATGTCATCAGCTCCACATGAAGCTCATCATAAATGAATTGGATCTGATCCTACAATCGCACCCCCCCGCCCTCGGGGGAAATGTATCATTCCCGGTCCTCTCATAGTGCTAAGCTGTAAAGTATTGCTCACTGATGAACTGCAAGCGCAGAACACAGACTCAAAATGTCAGCGTTTGTACAGTACATGGCTGTATATCATATTTGCATGGCTATAAAACAGTCTCAGATGAGATGATGATTTTTTTATCACTAGTAATCTTCATGCCCTGACTATTACCAATAGGACATCCACTCCTTGTTCACAACCAATATAACAGTTTCACAAAAGGTCTGATTGTTTGGTTGAACTGCACATTTGACCCTTTTTATGTGGATTGTGTGTGTGCCAGGCTAAATAAGAGTGACACAGTGGTGGGACGATCAGGAGCAAACATTGTGTTGGATCTTCTGGCTGCTTTGGAAGGACTGACACTAATGGAGGAGATAGAGTAAATATTTCACACATACAGAAAATCTGGCACATAAACCAATGTGATAAACCTCTTTTAAGTCTGTCATTAAAGTTGTCATCAGTGATGTTGGATCTCTTGTGGTTTCAGGTTGGAGGGCTGGAGGATGGCTGAAGGAGAAGTGGAGCAGCTAACCAGTCTCCTTTCTATCTGGACGGAGCTCAGGAAGATCAGGTAGGCATATGTCACATGTCTCTCCCCTTTATGTTCTACACATAAACACATCATCCATGGTATTATAAGCCTGCAGGTCATCATTATATTGTTCTTGATGTCAAGCAGTGGTCGGGTTGTAGAAAGACCTTTTTAGATCCTGAGTAATCTTTCTCGCGCTTACTTTGTGTCTGGTGTGAATGTAATATATGTACATATATTGAATTTCCATATATGAAATATATGTACATAAACATTTAAAACATTATATATGACTTTTTAGATAGAAATTCAGTTAGAAATTGAACAATTTCATATATTGACACATATGTCTAGCCCATACAAATGTATATGTATGTATGCTTATTTTGTAGACATATGTTAAATACATATAAATCCATCCCAAAGCCTGTCAATATAAACACCACAAAAGTAATGGGAAACTAATAAGAGAAACATATATAAGCATATATAAATTTTATATGTATGTTGTTTAAACAACTTGCCATATAAAAATGTATTATTTTAAACTCAAGAGTACAGTTAAGTGGTCTCTATAAATCCTAGGCTTGGCCTCCTCTCAATCACACTGGTATGTAATGACGGCCGTTCAAAACATACCGGCTGTTTTATTATACAGTCACCACCTTCTTTATGGAGACCAGCTGTTCCCCTTTGGCAGCAGGTCCTTTCTTTCCAAGACTGACAGTCACAAAAGGTCTTGCTCAGTGCGTGATGGCATTGCTGCATTCATTTGTGCATTACATGTTTTTGTGGTTACATTCTTTTCTTCAAATTGCTGCATGGCTCCTATTAAAGTTTAAGTGCATTTCTGAACATTTCTGAGTTTGGCACCACCCAGTGGTAGTTTCCAAGAAGACAGCAGTAGCCGAGAGTAGCTTCAATGTCACTCTCAAAGTGTCTGTGTATGTCCGTCCTCCAGGCTCTCGAAGAACCATATCAGCGACCAGTCAGGAGAAAAGCTGCTGGAGGCTTTGATCCGCTGTAGTCATCTAGAGGAGCTCTAGTAAGAACATGATATCACATTTTTATATACAGTATGTGGCTCATTTCTGTGAATGCTCTGTTGGAAAATGAATTATGTTGCACATGTAACACATAAATCACACATGTAAACTCTTTAAGTCTTCCAGATTGTGTAGTATAATTTAGTTTTTTTTTAGCTGTTTTTTCAGATTTTTGCCGGATGCATTTTGGTTAAAGAGAAGAATAGTCATGACAAATCTTATCTTTTGTATATTTCTTTTTGTGCTGTCTTCCAGTCTGGGCAGCAACCGTCTTGGTAATCTCACTGCTGCCAAGATGGTCCCTGATCCACCAACAATGACACACATCACTGTGTTAGAGTAAGTCACACACACACACTTAAATTTGTTATTGACATTTATTATATTAGACAGAGTTGTCCTGAGGTTTGTGTTCTTTATGTCTGTCTGTGTCTTTTATAGTATTTCAGAGAACGTAATTGGATATGAAGGGTCAGCGAGTCTGTCTGATGCAATAGTATGCATGAAGAACCTCACCAAGATTCAGTAAGACTCATCAGCTCCTCCTGTTGCCGTGGGAATCACAACACTAATGGATCACTGGCTGCACTGATTGTTTCTTTCTCTTGTGCGGTCTTTTAGATTGACCTCTGTTGGGACTTCACAGCTGTGTGCTGTAGTTGCCAGTCTGGCTCACTGTCCTCTCATACAGGATGTGGGGTAAGATTAAAAATTGTCATGCAATAGTGGTAGTACACTAATAGAAATAATAGTAATGAAAACTTCAGATAGCTCAGGTTAGCATCAAATTATTGAGTTCTGGGTGATGAATTTCAGATTTCCAAATACATCTCTCTTGCTTATTTAAAACTTCAATCCTGCAAAGTCCAAGACCAGGAGCCGCATGAAGGCAGTCTTTGTGACATTTTCAATTAAATTTGAATTGAATAAAATTGCTCTTGTCTGTTGTTCTTGTTCCATTGCACGTTGTATCTAATTTTTAAATGTGAATAATATGAAGTGTTTGTTTGTCTCTCTAGTTTGGGATGGAATAATTGTGGTGATGAAGTGGCGCTGGAGCTGGCCCGGGTTTTGCCTTTCTGTCAGAAGATGACCAGAATAGAGTGAGTTTGTTAAAACACATTTAACCAGTGTTAGTTTTTGCAAATGCTTTTAGCTTTAAGACTTGATTTAACAATTTAAATTGTATGTCCTCTGATGGGACCCTTGCCCCACACACTGTTACATAACGCAATATGTATGTGTGTGTTTATTTCTCCTAGTCTGGAGTCCAACAGAGTGAGTGTTTTTGGAGTGGAGGCCCTGGGAAGAGCCTTAAAGTCGTGTCCTGCTCTTCAGCTCATCAGGTAAATGTTTTCTCATACTGTCTCTCAGACATGGTTTGTCCCACACAGGCATCGGTTAGTTTGACCACAACTTATAAAGTCTTGTTAATGCCTGTTATTTACTTCAAGTCAGTAACATTTGGATTTTAAAAAAACTTTTCTTTTTTTTTTAAAAATAGTAAATTTTCCACCACTGTGCTTTTCAGGCTGTGGAGGAACAAATTGTCTGTCAGCGATGCCCAGAGGCTGAATCTGAAAGACAGGAGACTGAATTTCTCATCCACTTAATGCGATCTGTACTGATACATGGTGGCAGCGATTCTCAGAAGTAGCATTCCACTTCATCAGTGTCTGCAGAGGTGAATCACTGCTATAGTACAGTGTCGCTCTCGCCACAAAATGGAATCAGACTTTGTTTTCCCTGCAGATTATTCATCAGAAAGCATGAACAGGGATCAGTTGTCTATCCTACGACGGCAGCAGCTGGTGTCTCTAATGGTATGAATAGTGAAAAGACCACTATGTGGTGCACACAGTATAGTGTATATATAAAAATGTTCCCATTTGGTATTTTTCTAAAATGTCTTGTTTTTTTTATCTTAAGAACTTCTCTAGGGAACATTGTATTGAGGTATAAAAGTACAGTTGAATGGTTTGTTGAGAAAATGAAGTGTCTATTTTTAGGACTATTTAAATATATGACTATGCATTTATTGGCCTCATTTCACAGCAGTAAGCTGAAGCAGCTGACAGCATGGTGGTGTCCCTTCACTGTGGTCCCTTTTTTTTTTTATTGGTTCACACTCATTATCATGACGTTGGTGTGTTGTGAACATTAAGACTGAGTTTTAAGCTTTAACTAGTGCATGACCACCTGTGACAGACAGGTGACACAGACAAATCTATTCTGTTACCAGTGCAGCCTCTGACCAGAATGCATGTTTAATCTATCATATAACGTGATAGATTAAAACTAATATAAAGTTGGATGAAGTCAAGTGCTGAAATGCTAAAATAAACATGACTAATTTCCATACAGGAAATAATTTAATCACTAGCCAACATTTGCAAAATGAACCAGCGGGCTATAAAATTTATCAGATGTATTTTTGGTGTTTTCTCTTTTTGAGAAAACCTCATCTTTACATCTTGGATGGATAATGTAATGTAATGTAATCCGCATAAAGTCGGTTTTGGCTAATTATTAATTAGTATGCACATAGTAATGTTTTTTTTGTTTGTTAAACAGACAATTTAAGAAGCAAGATACTAATTTGAGGTGGTAAGAGAAAGGAGCTTTCAGTGGCAATCACCGCTGTGAAACTAGAGTCCATGATGTAAAGGATTCCTTGATTAGTATATATAAGCAGACTCTCATACACTGAGTCACTTTGCACTGTAATTGCGTTTACAATAATAAGAGGCCACATAGGTGAGAACACAATAATACATGAACTGACAGTGAGGAAAGACAGGGACCCACTCTCTGCTCTTATGGTCATTTAAGGTTGTGGCCTCTGTCCAATTTGCATATTTATTTCTGCTGTCATTAATGAAAGGAATTATCCTTTTTATTAAAGTTATTTATTAAGTTTTGATGCAGACTGAGTTTAATTTTTTACATAAGTAAATTGTAGATGGGGACACCACACACTGTAACAATTACAAAATGGGTCTCACTACTGATATTTCTTTTGTTGTTTCTGTTGTGTGCTGATAATGTTATAATGATACTGTCATTTTTTTTAAACTAGGAGAGCACCTTATTTGTTTTCCCATTCCTCTGTGTATTATTATCCAGTTTCTTTCTGGTCTCTGCAGAGACATTGGATTTAAACCGGCTCAGATGAGAAGCCTTGAAGTAACTTATCTGTTCAAACTTGTTTTGCTTTTAAGGTTTGTGTTAATGTTGAATTTTGAGTTCTCATGAGGAAAAATTGCCTGTATCCTTGACATTTAACCATTCTGACTTGCACTGAGATGTGTCTTCAGAATTAAAAAAGACTATCTTGATATTTGGCCTTTGTTTACACTTGACACAATCAGTTCATTTCTTTTTCTTTATTTTTTTCTTTCTGTTATGTAAAAGACAAAATGCAGAACATGTTCCATGTAAGTATGTTAAGTTTCCACATAGAATATTTGTAATATCTTTGGAGAGGCTCTTTGACTGTCAGCAGCAGCTGATATGACAGCTGTGCCTGTGACTTCTGTGCAAACACAGTCACATGACTCCCATTCATTTATGTTCACTTTGCACTCTCTTGTGGTTAAGATGGGTGGTGCAAATATGGTGCAGTTGCTTCTGCTGCTTCCCAGATGGATATATACAGGACAACACAACCAACAGGGATCTTCATGTTGCAAAATTTTATCTTTGGTCCTGTTAATATATTAGTGAATAATGTTAACAACAGTTCTGAATTAAATAAATGAATAAAACAATGAATCACCCAAACCCAAAACACTATGCGCTTTTCACAGCAGATGTGTTGACCTGTCACAGTGGGAAAAGCCCGGGTGTAAATAATAACATTCTGGATTTCAGTTTCAGAGTTCTGGTATGTTGTGCACACTGGTTCACTGTCACACCGTCATGAGTCACTGGGACACTGGAATAGAACAAAGCCATTAGTATTGGTATTAGTAACAGTACTGATGACTCTCAGTAAAAATATCTTAAGTATGATCAGCAAAATTGAAGCTACATATATTTTTAACCGTTCAGTTTTAAGTGGTACAGTTCCTATAAGTCTGGAGGGCCGCTTATGTAACTCCCCTACATAAAAGTGCCAGAACAGCTGGTCTTAACAATTACAGATCTAGCTCTTATATTATTACTGTATATTATTGGATTAATATTACTGACCTATTCACATATGTAAGCACTATATTAATGTTGGAGCTGGCTAATTTGACCCATTTTTATACTATTAAGGGGTTTACTGTATAACAACACTTGAAACTGGCTGTTACATAAATGTAGTGGAGTAAAGAGGCCTACAATATTCTCAGGAAATGAGCGGAGTAGAGGGATGAATATGTAAAGTAGCAAAAAAAAAAAAAAAAAATACAATACTAAAGTACAAGTACCTCAGAATTGGACTTCAGTACAGTCATTGTGTGTGTTTCGTTGCAGCACTAGTAATGTGGCTGCAATGTGCTGAAAAGTGTGTTCTACCTGTATTAACCACAAGAGAGTGCCAGAGGAACTATACGTTTTCCACAGTAAAAGATAAAAGGTTGATAGCAGATATTGTTACACTAATCAAATGTGTCCATGAGATAAGTCGGCCACACAAATATATAATAATCAAGTTTAGCAACGTAACAAAAGCAATACGTCATCATGCTTCAAAAATAAATGAATAAAACACTTAGGACGGAAACAGTCTCCCTCTGCTTTGACAGTGACGCTTTTATTTTGTACGTGAACTCTCCGTACTTCCGGTCTGAAGCTAATCCTGGTAGCTTGACTCAGCTTTGTCCGTCAGAGGCGCTTGGCACAACATATTGCGGGCTACGAGGATGATTTACGTTCACACACTGTTGCGCCTTCCAGGATACTCGGGATAAAAATGGCCACGGCAACTTCAGTTTTTTCTCTTTTATAAAAAAAAAAAAAAAAAAAGTGTCTTCGGTGTTTGTTATTAATATTTTTACTCCTGACTGTGCGCGGTAATTAAAGAAACTGTCAACTGAAGAGCGGCGGAGAAGTTGGACGTCATTCGCTGAGGTGAGTGTGGCATTAGTTTTCACGTTTTGTCGTTGTAGAAGATTTAACAGGTAGCCGGTGTGTGCAGGGGGCTGTCAGGAGGATGCTGAGGGACTGCTAGGACGCGCTCAGCTGGTAAAATGAAAGTACAGCCAAAATGTGATCAGTGCGCTGGTTAGAGAGCTTAGATGCGGAATAAGGAAGGATGTAACATTTTGCAGAACACCTTGCTTGCAGGTTGAATATCGTGTATGTGCATGAAAGAGAGAGTTGCTGTTTTACTGTTTTGATTTATTTCATGTGAAGTTGACAATGCTCTATATGATTGCTGTTTACAGTCTGCGCTTCATTTCTATTAGCCACTTAAGCGCGAATGTGGCAGACAGGACATGTAATCAGACTTAATGACTGTGTGCAGAGTTCACTCTGCTATTAACACGGAGAAAACAGCTTCCATGCTGCTTGTCTCGTCAGTCAGTCACACTTAACCTGCCCTCTCTGTTAGGTTTCCCTGCTCTGCCCTCCTGCAGAGAGGTGACTCAGGTGTGGATGTGCAGTGTGACTGTGTGAACATCTTCACCAGGATCAGTGAAACCACAGACATGGACAAAGCTGCTGTTGTCTGGTTGGTTTTTGTATCATCCTGATATAGCCTGCTGTATAGTACAAGCTTACATATAAATGCACTCAAACATCCACTGTAGTGCAGCTGCACTCTTTTACACAGGAGTGTGGCAGATGACAGGGAGGTGATATGGTCCTAATAGCATGTCTATTATTATTTACTGCAGTTTACAGCTGCAGTTCCCAGTGTATATGGTACAGCAGCTTTTGGATTAACACTGGAAGATATCCAAATTATGTTTTTCTGACCTGCAGTGTCAAAGTTGGGTAACGCCCCTTGTTTGTGTTACTCTGATTATCAGTCTTGACAAATTCTCCATGATATCCTGCTTTAACATCTGCCCCAATCACTTCATTCATTCATTCATTCATTCACTGTATTTATTTATTAATTTACTCTGCACTGCTTTTTTAATTTTAGGATCCCTCATCATGTCTTAATTAGCAGTTTAACCATCATTCAAACCTCTGCTGAAGGCTGAGTTAATTTCACTGAAACCAGCTCCTTGACGAACCGGCATTGTTAATGTAATCAGTAAATACAGGAGTAAATGACGATGAATGAATGAGTAAAAGTATTTCAGCCAGTCAAAACAAGCCTTTCACCGCCTATGAATGGCTGAGTAAATGAATGAAAATATTGCACTGGCTTTTTCAGTACATCACCACTACCAGTGTGACATCACAGGAGCAGAACGGGAGGCGCACGCTGGTTATGACACATTAGTATCTTAGCAACAGACAGCATCGTTTTAGCATGCTGCTCTCAGAACAAAACCACCTTTGTGGACACAAGGTGCTGTCCTGTTTATTTGTTTATTTCTTTTCCACTCCTTGCCTGACGCTTCACCATTTTGGAGGTTCTGCAATGGCTCTGATCTGGGCTCAGGGCTGTGTGTGTGTGTGTGTGTGTGTTTCTTCATGATGTTTTATATGCTGGAGGGCAGCCATGACCTACACCAGGGCCACCTGGCATGGCCGAAGCCTCACATCATGCGTGTGTGTTTACATCTGTTTTTAATTTTTACTCCGTGGTTATTTCTAGCCAAACGAGAGTTATTAGTTTGCTGAGGGCTGTAAAACCACAGGTGGTGTATTGTAGCTGTGATTTATTGATTTTTTCTTCTTACTTGTGCATTTTTCTCCCCTTATTTTTTGTTATACATACACTGTAATGCTAAAAAGAAAAGCAATGTTACTATCCAAATTCAACAAATGTCAGTCTCTTGTGCAACATTATTTTATGATAGTCTTCCTCCGCCTCTTTTCTTTAGACAAATGCACATTCTCCCTAGCAACAGATGCATACACCCCAGTGTGTTGCTAGAATCTTATTTTCTTTCTGTGGTGATGTTTCCAGTAATTTATGATGTTGTCGGCTGTCGATGCAAGACACACATTGCACACACTTGCACCTGTGAAGCGTTAGAGTTATGTAAGAACTCCAGCATGTAACTATATGTTCTCCTGGACGGCAGCCCGTTAATGTTTGATTTATGTCCTGCTTTTGTTAATTTCACAGAGATTGAACCTTTCATCTTAATCTCATCAAATTATATTATGTCAATGTATTTGTGTATTTGTTCATTGGTCATCTTTAATGTTTGATTTATGTCCTGCTTTATGTAATGTGTTTTCGTTTTGTGGTTCTTAGCCATGTTAGCGGCCTGGCTACTGTTGATGGTGCGTGTAAAAGACATTTAATGGATTGCCACGAAATTTGGTACAGACATTTATGGTCCCCATCAGATGAAGTTTACTGATTTTGGAGATCCCGTGAGCTTTCATTGAGCTCCTCCACCAACATTGGAGACATTAATGGTTCCCAAATGACATCCTACTGACCTGATCCGCTGAGTTTTCCTCTAGCGACGTTATCAGGTTGCTATTTTTGGTTCTGAGAGAAATGTTTCAACTACTCACATTTGATGGTTGGTTGGTTTTGGACTGATGGTCACTCAAAACAAGTCATTTAATGATGTCACCATGTGCTCTAGGACACAGTGAAGGACACTTCCTACTGTTTTAGGATGTTTTATAGACATAACAATGGCTGTTGTACTTTGTGTGAAGATGGTTACTATGGTGAACATTGTACCTGCAAAACATTCACATTTTAGCGTCGTGATCTAGTTCAAAGAACCACTATACACCCTCTCACAGAGTTGCTAGCATGGCTGTATCATATTTGCATTAAGGAACACCTGTTGGCTTTATTACTTATTATCAAAACCATATCTTTCTCTAAGGAACACTGATCTGTTGTCCAAATGTCCAAAGTTTTATACTATTTAAGATTTCATGGGGCAGTCATGGTCAACCAAGAAACCGCCAGTGTGGGATGGTGTGTGGGCGTGTATGAAACTGAAAGTTATTTCCACTTATTTCTCTGTATTTATTTTCTTCCAGGCTGATAAGTTGTGACCTCAGACCATGGCCTACACTCTAGGCTCAGCCACCGAGGGCCAGACGCGCAGTGTCGGACCTCAGCATTGCGTCACTCGGGTGGAGCTGTCCGTCACAGCAGCCAGCCTGCTGGACCGAGATGTAGCCTCCAAGTCGGACCCCTTCTGTGTCCTCTTCCATGAAGTGGAAGGAAACTGGGTGGAGGTAAGGATGGCGGGATGATTGGTTCAAAGAAAAACTGAGGTGGAGGAGGAGTAAAGAGGAGGCATGTTTTGTCTTCATAAAACAGGTTGAAGATGGGGAGAAATCAGTGATGGATGAAAATGGCAGATTGAGGAGAAAAAGCCAA